AGAGAGAATGTGAGCTGTGAGTCTCTCACATCAGGGCCGGCTGGAAATTAAATAATGCTCACATAAATCACCCGTGAATCAAGGAAGAAATAAAGGAAGAAATTAAAGACTTCCTAAAATGCAATGAAAATGACCACACAACATACCCAAATTTATGGGACACAATGAAAGCAGTATTAAAAGGAAAGTTCACAGCACTAAAAGCCTACATAAAGAAGCTGGAAAAATCCCACACTAGTGAGTTAAGGGAACACCTGGAAACTCTACAACAAAAAGAAACAATCCCACCCAGGAGGAGTAGATGGCAGGAAATAATCAAATTGAGAGCTGAAATCAACAAAATAGAAACAAACAAACAAAAAACAATAGGAAGAATCAATGAGACAAAGAGCTGGTTCTTCGAGAAAATCAACAAATTAGAGAAACCTTTATCCAAACTAACCAAAAGGCAGAGAGAGAATATGCAAATTAACAAAATCAGAAATGAAAAGGAGGCTATAAGACAGACAAGGAGGAAATACAGAGAATCATCAAAGGCCTATACTCCACATAATTGGAAAACTTAAAGGAAATGAGCAATTTTCTGGATTAATATCACTTACCAAAATTAAATCAACACCAGATAAGCAAATTAAGTAGACATACAACAGTGAAAGAATAGAAATAGAATAGTCATCAAAAGTCTCCCAACCAAAATAAGCCCAGAACCAGATGGTTTCAGCTCAGAATCCCGCTAGATTTTCAAAGAACTGATACCAATACTCCTCAAATTGTTCCACACAATAGAAACAGAAGGAACATTGCCAAATTATTTTTACTATGAAAGAATTACAGACCAATCTCACTCATGAACATTGATGCAAAAGTACTCAGTAAAGTACTGGCAAACCAAATTCAAGAACACATCAGAAAAATCATCCACCACGACCTAGTAGGCTTCATCCCAGTGATGCTGGGATGGTTCAACATATGAAAATCTGTCAACGTAATCCACCATATAAACAAACTGAAAAATAAAAACCACATGATCATCTCATTAGATGCTGAAAAAGCCTTTGGCAAAATACAACAACCCTTCATGATAAAGGTCTTGGAAAGAGCAGAAATACAAGGAACATACCTAAACATAATAAAGGCAATATACAGCAAGCCAACATCAAACTAAATGAAGAGAAACTCAAAGCAATCCCACTGAAATCAGGAACAAGACAAGGTTGCCTACTCTCTCCATATCTATCCAATATAGTATTTGAGGTCCTAGCTAGAGCAATAAGACACGAAAAGGAGATCAACGGGATACAAATCAACAAAGAAGTCAAACTCTCATTATTTGCTGATGATATAATAGTTTACATAAGTGACCCCAAAACTCTATCAAGGAACTTCTACAACTCATAAACATATCCAGTAATGTAGTAGGATACAAGATTAACTCAAAAAAATTAGTAGCCCTCCTTTATACAGATGAATGCGTTGAGAAAGAAATCAGAGAAACATCACCTTTCACAATAGCCACAAATAGCATAAAATATCTCGGAGTAACTCTAACCAAACAAGTGGAATTCCTGTATGACAAGAACTTTAAATCTTAGAAGAAAGAAATTGAAGAAGACACCAGAAAATGGAAAGATCTCCCATGCTCTTGGGTAGGCAGAATTAACACAGTAAAAATGGCAATCTTACCAAAAGCAATCTACAGATTCAATGCAATGCCCACCAAAATCCCAGCAAAATTCTTCACATACCTCGAAAGAACAACATTCAACTTCATATGGAAAAGCAAAAAACCCAGGATAGCCCAAACAATCCTGTACAATAAAAGGAACTTCTGGAGGCATCACAATCCCTGGCTTCAAACTCTATTACAGGGCTACAGGCAATATGTGTGTGTGCATGTGTATGTATATGTGGAGTAAGGTAGGAGGAAGAGGAAGGTTGAAATTCTGTAACGATCCTTAGTTCCATCCTCTATCTTGTCCACTCTGTCCTGGAAAGCTGAAATTCACGCAGGCCTGCATACAGAAGGGGGAAATGGCTACCACTGTGTGCCTCTCAGCTCCTAGAATACTTGCAGGCAAACAAACATTTCGGGCAGGTTTGATAATTATTCATCGGAGAAGCCAAGGGACTTCCAGATACTCAAATACTCAATGTCTGGAGAGTCTCCCTGCCAGAGCACATCGCAATGACAACTGCCAGACAAGAGCCCTGTTTCTTGTACAAAACATGTGGTGTACCTCATTCATCTATGTGAACATTCCTCAGACCACCAGACTTCAGAAAAGCCTGGGAGGAGCTAAACAAAGTAAATAAGGAGGGCCTGGAACTCACGTGAAGCCACTTACAAACAGGATACACTACAGTATGGTTATTCTTGGAGAGTTGAAAGAGGGTAGTGTACCCATGAAAAAAGAACAAGCTTCTATAGAAAGGGAACAAAAGCTCCAGAATGATAGAGAACTCTTAGAATTAAGGCTCTCCTTCTGGAGGCATCACAATCCCTGACTTCAAACTCTACTACAGAGCTACAGCACTGAAAACAGCCTGGTATTGGCATAAAAACAGACAGGAGGACCAATGGAACCGAATAGAAGACCCAGATATCAAACCACATGCCTACAAACACCTGATTTTTGACAAAGAAGCAAAAAATATAAAATGGAAAAAAAGAAAGCATATTCAACAAATGGTGCTGGCATAACTGGATATCAACATGTAGAAGAATGAAAATAGACCCATATCTATCACCATGCACAAAACCCAAGTCCAAATGGATCAAACACCTCAACATAAAGCCAACCACATTGAACCTCAAAGAAGAGAAAGTGGGAAGTACACTTGAACGCTTTGGCACAGGGAACTACTTCCTAAATATAACCCCAGCAGCACAGACACTGAGATACAATTAATAAATGGGACCTCCTGAAACTGAAACGCTTCTGTAAAGCAAAGGACACGGTCAACAAGACAAAACGACAGCCTACATAATGGGAAAAGATCTTCACCAACCCCACATCAGACAGAGGTCTGATCTCCAAAATATACAAAGAATTCCAGAAATTGGTCATCAAAAAAGTAAATAATCCAATAAAAGATGGGTAAGGACCTAAACAGAGAACTCTCAACAGAGGAATCTAAAATGGCTAAAACACACTTAAGGAAATGTTCAACATCATTAGTCATCAGAGAAATACAAATCAAAACAACTCTGAGATTCCATCTTACACCTGTAAGAATGGCCAAAACCAAAAACACTGATGACAACTTATGCTGGAGAGGCTGTGGGGTAAAGGGAACACTCCTTCATTGCTGGTAGGAGTAGAAACTGGTACAGCCCCTTTGGATATCAGTATGGGGATTTCTCGGAAAATTTGGAAACAACTTACCTCTAGACCCAGCAATATCACAAAATACCAAAGAATGCTCAATCATACCACAAGGACATGTGCTCAACTATGTTCATAGCAGCATTGTTTGTCATAGCCAGAACCTGGAAACAACCTAAATGCCCCTCGACCAAAGAATGGGTAAGGAAGATGTGGTACATTTACACAAAGGAGTACTACACAGCAGAAAAAAAAACCAGCTTGAATTTGCAGGAAAATGGATGGAGCTAGAAAACATTATTTTGAGTGAGGTAATCCAGACACAGAAAGACAAATATAATATGTATACACTCATAAGTGGCTTTTAGACATAAAGTAAAGAAAAACCAGCCTATAATTCACAATCCCAGAGAATGAATGAGGACCCTAAGAGAGATATACATGGATCTAATCTACATGGGAAGTAGAAAAAGACAAGATCTCCCGAGTAAATTGGGAGTGTGGGGAATCATGGGAGAGGGCAGAAAGGGACGGGGGGAGGAAGGGGCAGAGAAAAAGATATTGCTCAATAAAAACAAAAAAGATTTAAGGCAAAAAAAAAAAAAAGAATTCCATCTCTTCTTGAGGCCCCTTCTTAGCTACAGTGACTTCTCTAGGCCTTTCTAGATAGTTCAGAAGTAGTTGCACCCTTTCCTCAGTCCATAGAACTTAGAAATCTTTCCCTTGACAGACTGTGTTTCACCTGTTGTATGGAGGTATCGAAAATGACTTCATCAGGCCTCCTGTCCTCCAGTCATGGCTTAAGCCACTAAAGCATTATTCCTGAGAGTCACTCCGTTGCCATTCTGGTGTCTTAAGTAGAGACCTATCAAACAGGGAAGAAAAGAATATATAGAACTTAACTGGGAATGGTAGGGCAGACAAGCAATTCTAGTTATTCCGATATTGAGGCAGCAGGATCTCAAATTCAAGTTCACTCCCTATCTCAAAAATAAAAAAAGACTCCGGGTGGTGGTGCACGTCGGGTGGCTGAGGCAGGCGGAACTCTGTGAGTTCGAGGCTAGCCTGGTCTACAGTGTGAGTTCCAGGACAGTCAGGGATGCACAGTGAGACCTTGCCTTAAAATAAAAAAGATGGCTGAGTGGTAGAGCATTTGTGTATCACGTGGGAGGTCGTCAGTCGTCCAATCCCCAGCACCAGGAAAAGAAACAAAATCAAAAGAAGCAACGGGCTATGTGCGGCGGGCTTGGAAAGCTGAGGAAGGGCAGGGGCTTTACAAATTTAACCTCACGAGGAGAAAACTGCTAACACACCGAGCGCCTCGGCGCACCCCAGCCTTCAAAGCGCCACTGCGGCGCGTTCCCCGAAGTCGCCCACACGCGGCATTTCTAGGCGGGGGTGCTTCTGACCTCCAAGGCGCGCCAGGCAGGCCTCGCGTTCTGGGTTTCCGCGGCGACAACGCGCCGTCCCTGTGGGGAGGCAACAATAGTGTCTTTCGCGCGCCTCCTCCCCTGGAACTTTCTCGGCCGCCGCGCTCTAGAAGCCAGCTCTTCCCTCGGCCCCGCCCCCAGCGTGCCCCGCGGCCCCGGAGCGCCACTTTGGGTGGGCGGAGCCCGCGGGTAACGATTGGTTCCGTGCCAGGGTGGGCGTGACCAGACTCGGGCGTATAAAAGATCGGCGACGGCGGAACCTCGGTTTGCGCCGGCCTTTCCTGCCGCGTCTTTCTCTGTCGTCCGGCTTTCTTGCCCTCTTCGGGTCCCGAGGTCGCCGCGCTTCTCCTAGCGAAGCATGGCGATGAAGGCCGTGTGCGTGCTGAAGGGCGACGGCCCTGTGAAGGGCACCATCCACTTCGAGCAGAAGGCAAGGCCCGGGGGCGCGGGGCCGGGGGAACGGGGCCCGGGCGCGGGGCGCAGGCCGCGCACCTGGGACGCAGGGAGCCGTCCACGCCTCCGCCGCGGCCTGCGCCCCGCTAGGTGCTGAGTCACCGCGGCCTCGGGCAGGGGCTGGGCCCGGGGGAGGAGGGAGGGAGGAGGCCGGGGTGTCGCGGGGCCTCCCGGGCGGGTCCCTTTCCGCGCCCCGGAGCGCTCGGGCCCGCCCGACAGAGACCTCTTGGCGTCCGTTATTTCTTTGGGGCTGCTGCTTTTCCGGTGTCCCTGTCCACGGGCTCAGGGCTCTGCGGCCACCGGCTGAGTGGGTTTTTCAGATACTCGATCGTGGTGGTGAGGACTCGGAGTAACGCAGCAGGAGGCGTTTCTGGCAGTTAAAAACAACGTCCCGGGCTGTTGCGTGCTAGGTCAGGGTCGGGCCGAAGGGTGGAAGAAAGATGGCCTTGGACTGTCGTTCCGTGCTTTTCTGCTCTCAAAGCTCCAGAAAGACGCCCGACTGGGTGTTTTTAGGGCAGCGAGTGTCTGAGGACATTTTTGAAGAAAAGTATGGAGAGATATTTTCGAAAACTACTGTAATACTGCAGAAACACATGCGTCACAGGGCCGGTGTTTGTGGTGAGATTGTGTCCAGAGCCTCAGGGAGGTTGCCATCTGCAGGAGGAGTTTGTTAAACTTAGCTTAATCCCGAGAGAATATTTGATAAATGGAGTGTGGTTGTGCGCTCTAGAATGTTTTACATAAACGTGAGGAGCCGGACTCTATAGTGAATGCAAGTGTCTCCCTTATGCGAGGGGGAACTGATAACGTGAAATTTAGTTCTTCACCTGGCTCGGTGTCAGCACTTCCTTTGACATTTTTTTAATGCATTCTGTTCTTTTTCTGTGTAAGTTTTTTTTGTTTGTTTGTTTTTGCCTTTTTTTCTCCTCCACATGTAGTCCTCCGCTGTGAGAAAGCAAAGTACCAGCTAGGGGTCCACCTGAGTCCAGGTTCCTGTCTTCTTCCTCCTTCCCAGAGGAGCTGCATAGTCCTGGTGCCCTTTGTACCCGAAAAGGACCCTTGGATAGTTACACATTCCAGTTTGGCACTTGTAATAACTTGGCTATCAACGCTGTTTGATTTAACCTGTTGCCAGCTTTACCAAAATCAAAATTGCCGTCCCTTATTTTGTTGAAAAAGTTGGCGATTTACAAATAAGATAAAAAGAAAGATATCAGCATGTGTGTTTTAGGAATGCAGTTGCTTCTTGCATTTTCTCCTTGTTACAGTCTCTCTGGAGTTATACTAGTTTGAATTTTGAACATAATATTACAGCTCAGTTAACCATCACAAGCCCTGCCTGGATGAGGAGGATGGGGGGGTGATACTTCCTTGGTTTCTCTACTCTAGTGTTATTGCTGTCTTTTCTTTTTGTTAAGTGGGATGTTCTCTAGGTTTGAATGCCTAATAAGATTTTTTTTAAAAAGTAGCTCTGGTTAGACCCAGATGGACACGATAAACACCCGAGTGCTGAGTGAAAAACAAGGGTCCTGGTGTAGCCAGTGTGCGTTTCTGTGAGAGTCAAGTTAGAGTCTCACAAGTCAGTGCAGTGCCCAGCTACTCCCTAGGCCTGACATTTAGTAGCGCCCTTAGTTTTGTTCTTCTGCTAGGTGCTTTTTAAATGTGCAGTCCAGGAGACTGCCGACCTGGTGTCACAGCAAGCGCTGAGATTGCTAGGGAGAGGGGCCTGGAGCTAAGCTGCTGGAGTGGATGCACCCAGGCATAGTGTTGTCTAGTTTGGTTTGGGGGTACTCTTGTGCCTTTACTGTGAAGGGCAAAGGTGTAACCAGCAATTCCCTTTGTTCGGAGGCATTTACACTAAAACTTGATGCCCTAATTTCTTTCTTGCTTTCTTTTTAAATAAAGGCAAGTGGTGAACCAGTTTTGGTGTCAGGACAAATTACAGGATTGACTGAAGGCCAACATGGGTTCCACGTCCATCAGTTTGGAGATAATACACAAGGTTGGTGTTATGCTGGCTAGTGACCATCTGTACCTGGCTGACCAGGAAAACAAATGGGACTGAGTCAAAACTCAATTGCTAACGATTAAAAAAGAGTAAACTTCCCTTTCTTTCTCTTTCTCTCTCTCTCTTTCTTTCTTCGAGATTTAAGTTAAAATAACCACTTAGGTCAACCTTGAGGAAGTAATGTTTGATTCCTTAAGTGTGAGAAGGTGAAGGAGTTGATGTTTTTTGATTGTGATAATGGCTTGAGTTTAAAGCACAGATACAAACAAAAAATCAAGCTCCCACTTATTTTGGATAATTCTTTTAGGTGCTTGGAGCTGGGGGTTGAGTGGGTTTTTGACAGTGTTTGGCGTGAGAGGCGTGGTGGGACAGAAGCGATGAGAGCTGAGATGTGACATTGATGCTTAGAATGAGGTGTATTTTCTCAAGTCAGTAAAAAGAGATGGGTTAAATTGAATTTAGTGATTTTTTTTTGCCATATTGGAAGAATAATTTGAATTTTGTTCACATACTTGTAAGAAGAACCTCACTCATGTTGCTAGAGCCTTTTCCTTCTCTCCCTTCACCTCTCCCTCCCTGCTTCCTTCCCTTCTTCACATAGCCCAAGGTGGCCTGGAACTTGTACCATCCTCCTTTAGTCTTGTGTGTGCTGGATTATGGCATGCATCAGAAGAACCTGTGTGTAATTTGTTCCACAGTTACTTAAGGTCGTGTTTTATCCATTTTGATACGTATTAAAATTTCCCCAAGTTGCCTCGCCTCAGCTCTGATAGCTCTGATTTGCTAAACTCCTTTCTGAATGCTGCCCTGTACTTGTTCTCTGGGCCTGGGTAGAAGTTATAAACAATGGAAAGCCTGCATGAAAGGACTTGCTGCATTGTCATCAGTGTTCCTTGTGAATGGCATCCCTTGGGCCGAGTGTACCTGTAATACTGGTTACACCCCTTGAGCTGTGTATGGCAGCAGCCTTGGCCCTTGGGCATAGGGTTTTATTTAGGAATCTGCCTGCCCCAACCAAGTAAAGGCCAGATAGGTGAGCTGCTTGGTGGCACATGGTCTTTAAAGACAAGTGCTTTTATCATAAAGGTATGCCACCTTCTTAAAAAGCCAAGATCTTAGATGTGGGACTTTAACTTCAGAAGAGCCATTGAAGATTGCATCTGCTCCACTTAAAAGGTGTAGGAGCCAGCATGGTTTGACACTCTTGTTCCTAGCACTTGGAAGGCTGAGGCAGGAGGACCATAGGCTGCAGATATCCTGGGCTGTAATAGTGAGGCCCTGTCTCAAAACTCAAAACCAAAAGGGGATGGGGAGGAAAATGTGGCAACTAGAGGAAGAAGGTAGCTTGAGAATGTGTGTAAGGCTATACAGCCCTGCTGTTTATACCAGTGTTGCTTCCTGCTTCTGTCACCCAATGTTTTCTGTGTTGGGAGTGGTGAAAATGCCTATATTGTTACATACAGGCGTTTGCTTCATAATCTAACTGCTGGTTTCTGGTGGATAGGCTGTACCAGTGCAGGACCTCATTTTAATCCTCACTCCAAGAAACATGGCGGACCAGCGGATCAAGAGAGGTGAGCAGCATGCTCCATGTGCACGATGGTGGAGAGCCCACCTGTGAGACAGCTGAGTGGTCTCCCTACCTCTGCTTTTGTATTTATTTGCACTCATCCAACTTCCCCAAGTGCTGGAAGGGGTGGGTAAAAGTCTTGACAAATGGGGACTCTGAATATGATTTAGTTTTGCAGCATTTATTGAAGATGAACTGGTACAGAAAACAGTACTGCCAGCCCCACTAGTAAAGTCATTGTGAAACAGGACACTAATGCAGAAGCTAGTTGAGACTCCATTTATATGTGAAACCTCTCAGGAAAGCCCTAATTTAAAGGACTGGCTTGTTTTTATACTGGAGGCCTGGGAGGGAGCAAAGCTTTGCTAAAGTATTCTAACTCAGGAGGTGAGTTCATCTTTTGCTGCAATCCCTGAAATGAAAAGTATGACCCAAATCATGACTTCCCAGAGCATACTTTTAAACTTGATCTCTGTGTTTAGGATGTCCTAGCTATATGCTTTAAAATTTGTTTCCAGACTGCTGTCAATCTGGAAAAGTGGTCATGTTGGTTATGTATTGTGTACTTCTTAGTCCACTGACGTTTGACTTGGTCAGAGGTTAATTTAGCTCCTGAACTCTGCTGATGTGAAAGAAGTGGGCGCAGTACTTATTCACCTGATGCTCTTTTCATGTTAGACATGTGGGAGACCTGGGCAATGTGACTGCTGGAAAGGATGGTGTGGCCAATGTGTCCATTGAAGATCGTGTGATCTCACTCTCAGGAGACCATTCCGTCATTGGTCGAACAATGGTGGTAAGTTTTCGTATTAAGAACATGTGTAGGATTTCTTCTAACATGGATATGGTCAGACTCGTTTCTAAAGAATCACATAAATTGTTAAGAGTTCAGAATAGGAAAAAGTTTTTATTGGATATGATAGTGAAAAGTTAATTTGCCTAGGTCCATTAACAAGACTCGTTTCTAAAGAATCACATAAATTGTTAAGAGTTCAGAATAGGAAAAAGTTTTTATTGGATATGATAGTGAAAAGTTAATTTGCCTAGGTCCATTAACACTGTTCTGCTGAGATGTAGTAAGTAGAAAGCAGGTTACATTTGATCAGACTGGGTCTAAGTTGAAGAAACAGCCAGATTTTCTTGCCATGATTGCCCCCTTACAGTTAAACATTTCGTTGAGTGTAAAATCTGCAATGGATGTCAATATTCAAGTCTGTAGGTTATCATCGCTTGGTTACCATATGGGAGCCGTCTTCCCAAGTTACCCTCGGGAGCTGAATCTGGTTCATGCAGAACAAGCAGTAAAGGCTCTTGCCCACCTCAGGCAGCTACCTTTTCAGTAGGCACTTCCTTTCAGTTGACCCTTTATCCTTAGAATTTTCTTCAGCCCTATTGGTGAAGCAGAACAGTCATTTATAAATGTTCTAAAAATAAGATTTAGTTTTGTTGCTAAATAAAGATATTTAGAATTGCTTCTTATTTGTAGGCCTGTAGTTCATTGATATGAGATTCTGATAGCAAGGAATTTTGGGGTTATGTATGTGTGAGGATAATACCACATGGCCTGGTACAGGCACTTGAGTCTTCAGTGTTTCATTTAGAAACAGTAACATACACTAGCAAGGAAAAACTTAGTTGTTTGCTCTTAACTACTAGTATAAATATTAGCTTAATTTACTAATAGATTTGAAAATTTTGTAATGTCCGTGACCATTTTAAGTCTTTGTGGTATTGCCAGAAAGTGCTAATTAATTACTTGATTGCCCAAACTAAATGTTCCTAATTATTCTTTTCAAAGGTCCACGAGAAAGAAGATGACTTGGGCAAAGGTGGAAATGATGAAAGTACAAAGACTGGAAATGCCGGAAGCCGTTTGGCCTGTGGTGTGATTGGGATTGCCCAGTAAACATTCCCTTTGTGGCTGAGTCTCAAACTCATCTACTGTCCTGCTAAACTGTAGAAAAAACCTAGAACATTAAACTGTAAAATTAAAGGTGTAACTGTGTGACTCCTCTTTGATTGCTTAACTTGTAATGAGAACTGATTGATGATGCTCGGGAGATGTGTATAGTTCTATAACTCACTGAACTAAAGCCGGTTTCCTGTGCCTCTGTTTTCCGGACTTAGTTACACATAGGTATGAAACTCAAGTTAATTCTCATTTAAACCTGTGAGTAAACAACAAAGTGACACTTATTTTGAGCCTATTAATGTACACAAATATAAATTTGCAGCTAGTGCTTTACATATATTAAGCATCAAGAAGAGTAAGTGATGCTAACTTTCATAGTACTCCGTTTTGAAAGTGTTTTGTATGATACTGTCAAAATGTATGGCTGGCCTTGACTGTGGTAGCCCAAACCAAACTTGGTCTTAGAAAATATGTTGCCCTTCATTAGTAGCTTCAGAGAAATTACCTAAAGCTCTTCATTTAGATTCAAAATAGCTATTTTAAAATAAAAATTTAGTGATTATAATTTAAGAAAAAGCCCCTGAATAACTTGCATTGAACTTGTAAAAGGCAATTACCTACTCTACTTTTCAGGCGAAGCTGGTGTCATCTTTGGTGCTCTGGAAAAATCACAGCAGCACTGGGGGAGGCAGAGGAAACCAAATTGGAGGTCCTGCCTTAATCCTGACTTAACTACAGGAAAAACTAACCTAACTGGCTTGTGGCTATCTGAAATAGTTCATTCAACTGAAATACTTTTGACAAATCAGGTGTAAGCCATAGTCCTACTCATTCACAATCACATACTTGGTACAAGTTTTGGTGTTTCCAAGTTTGAAAACTGGAATGTGTTCCTAAGTGGCTATGCTGAAGTTTGAGGAAACTGTCACATATTTCTTAAGTAGTGCTGAGTGGGGTGACTCAAATGCAGAGAGTAAGCATCTGGTGTAGTCACAAGAGCTCTTCTGCTTAGTGGGTCATTTCTCAGTACTTTTAGTTGGGAATGCAAGCCTGTTCTTGAAATTTGGGCACTGGAAAATTGGATATAATTTTTCAGAAGTATTCTAGAGCAAAAACTTAATAATCTAAGTAGGGTCAGCATAAAACTAAACCCAGGACAGCTGCATTATCATAAAGACCTTGCATTTAAAATTCAAGTGAGACCATACAAAAAGGAACTTCTCGGCACTCTACAGCTAAGCCCATTTAGGACCTTGCAGTTTTAAAATCACATTTACCTATTTTTAGGGTATGTGTATGAGGGGAAAACCAGTTCTTCCACCACTTGGGTCCCAGGGATGAAGCTGAGGCCATCAAAGATGGCAGAAAGTGTCTTTACTGGCTGAGTTATTGTACTTGTCCTTAATGTAGGTTTAGGAAAAAGTCGTTCAGACTGTAAATCAGTGCTTCTCAACCTGTGGGTCAGAACCCCCTTGGGGGGGGGGGATTCCACATCTGATATTTATGATTAAAAACAGTAACAAAACTACAGTTATGAGGTAGCAAAAAAAATGTTATGGTTGGGGTCACCAAAACATAAGGGGTCACAGCATTAGGAAGGTTGAGAACTGTAATACCTAACTAACATTAAGTCCCTGACTTCTATGTCAGCGCTTTCAATACTATTGGAGTCTCAGTTTGTAGTAGCAAAAAGTGCAGTGTACTCGGGTTGTTGAAGATGAAGGAAACAAAGCATACAAGAGATGTTACACTATACCTAATCTATAAAAACACTTTCTGGTTGCATACATTAACCTTGACCTTGTTTTACACCTTAGCAATTTGAACAGAATGATTATAAACAACACACTCAACTTTCTAAGTTAAGTGAAGCCCAGGCAATCAGGTAATTTGTAGTGTCATGTGTAATGTTGGGAATCCAATTATTTCTCTTAGCAAATCTTTACAAATTAATTATGGCAACATTACCACAAAGCCAACGGGAAAAAAGAACACAGGTTTCTTAGTTTAACGTTAAGCTCACTAATTTTTACCTTATAATCAAATTATGACCAAAATATTAAAATAGAATTCATGTAAGTGTTCTTTTCCCCAAAAAGTCTAGACTCCAATACATTATCAACAGCTCAAACTTAGATGGCTAACATCCTTTTCCACCTTAATGCAGTGTATGAAGAATAGCACACATTAAAGTTTGTTACGAAAATAGAGTTTATTAAAAACATCCCTATTGTTTGAGGAGCTTTCACCGTTACCTTGTCTTAAATTAAAAAAAAAAATAGAGAGCACTTCTAATTAGGATTTGTAAACTTTTAAAAGCCAAAACTTTTAAAAAGTTACAGCAAAAAAGGGTAATATATTTTCAGTATTTTTTGTTATTTTGTGGCTATTTTTAAATAGAAGGGAAGCAATCAAATTGCTTACAGTCCCCATCAACTACTGTGGGGTGATGTAGCAGGAGCAAATATTATACAGCATCTGTACACCTCAGCTCTACACCCAAGTGTCACTGTCACATTCTGTCATATCCAGTCTCTAGCGAGGAGCCTCTGCTGCTGAGCCAGAATCCTTCTCGGGTTCAACGGATGAGGTAGCCTCAGCAGGTGACTCTTCAGGTTTTACCACTGTGGCCATGGCCTCCCCCTTATCAAGTTCTGAAACAGTGTCTACGTTTCCCACTTGGCTAAGGGGAGGTTCACTGGCTTTGCTACCACCTGCCCTGTCTGTGAGCTCATGCTTCTCTTTTCGATTATCTTCCTTCTCTCTACGAGACTCTCTGTCTCTAGAATCCCTGTCTCGGTCCCGATGCCCACTAGAGCGCCTATTTCTCTCTTCCAAGTCTCTGTGTCTGTCCCGGTCAGGGCTCCTTCTTCCCCACTCTCTCCTTTCACGGTTACTATTATCTCTATCATCATTACGGTTGCCATAACGTTCCCGGTCATTTTCCACCCTATTTCCAAAAGATCTTCTTCCAAACCTTTCTTGGTCTCTACCTGAATTGAGCTGCTGCCTGTTATCATTTCTAAACTGCTGTGGCTGCTGCTGAGCTGGTGCTGGCTGCTGTGACGGTGGTGGCTGCTGTGGCTGTGACTGTTGTGGCTGCGGCTGCTGCTGCTGTTGTTGTTGCTGCGGCTGTTGCTGCCTTCCATCTCTATCTTCTGGTCCTCCCGGGCCTGGGCCTGGGCCCCCAAGCCCTGGCATTCCACCAGGCCTAACGAAAGGGCCATGTGGTGGAAAGGGCCCTTTCATTCCATGAGGAGGGGGCATAGCAAAGCCCCCTGGTCCTGGAGGCGGACCTCTGTGCATCATGTGCGGTGGCATGGGGCGAGGTGGCATCATAGGAAACCGCTGCAAGTGAGGTGGAGGCATCCCTGGGGGGCGCTGGAGTGGGATCATGCCAGGTCTGGCACCAAGAAGACCAGAAGATGGTGCCTGGAGCCCAATTACAGGACCAGGTGCAACTCCTTGAGTGCCTGAAAGATAACACAAACAAAAATGTAACGATTTTTAGCTGTCTCCTGTGTAAAGAAAAACACGATTTAGTCCTGAATTGGTTTCGCTCTGAATTCATGCTGAACTAACCTCACATTAGTGATAACCAAGGTCAGCAATGGTAGACTCACTGTTTGGGTACCCAATTCAGGCAGAGGACAAGAAATGCTGAACGAGGAAATTGTAGTATTGTAGTTCTTGTCAGTCTTCTCTCAGAAGTTGTGACATCTAACAGTCCTGAGTCTCAACGAGATAAAAGTCTATATTCACTGCCAGCATGTCAAGACAGTGGGATGTGTTCTCTCAAAGTGTACAACCTGATCCCATGTCTTAATGTGTCCACTCTGTTAGACTACGCTGTGTAGTTACCATGCAGTATCCACCATCATTCTAGGACCTATGATAAAGATCCATATGCACATAAAGCTTATTTTTCAGTTTTTTTCTAAGCCCTGCTGAAAGTGTCATCCACTAGGTCAACACGAGGGCTGGAATTGATCCTTGGCCATATACCCTCTACTCTTCTCCCAAAGGCAGCAAGACTGACGATGCTGATGCTGGTTAGTCACTAGCTCGCTGCCTGTTTCTGGTCTGTAGGGAAGCCTGCTCATCCTGGCCCTGTAATTATGTAAGTTCAACCCAGCATTTACAGGAGGAGGGAAAAACAAGAAACAAGGATTTCTTTTGGTCCTGATAAACAGGTATCACATCTATTTCTTTTCAAATACAAAGAGCAAAAGCCACTATGATCAAAAAGCCATTAGAAAAGGCTCCAGATAGTAAGAGGTAGCAGTCACTCATCTGCCCATGTACCAAAGTCTGTGAGGAAGACTGGGATTATGACCATCAGCTGACAGTGGTCATAAGTGCCTTTATGACAGAAATACACTGTTAATTTCAGGTGTGTAACTTGAGTCAGTATTGTAGAAAACTAGCAAGCCCTGCAAGGGCCTCTGTTTTCTATATGCACCAGTACTACCAAGGAACCAAAACTCCTACTTCAGCTGTGACCCATGTACGAGCCCACGCAATGTATGAACACCAGCTTACACTATTTTAACTCAGCCACATATTTACATAACAACAAAGTCCTCTAGTACACAAACATGGTCTACTCAGGAGTTGCCTTTTGTTTATTTTTTGTTTTTTCAAGACAGGGTTTTTTACTATGTGACCCTGGCTGTCCTGGAACTTGCTGCTCTGTAGACCAGGTTGACCTCAAACTCAAGAGATCTGCCTATCTCTGCCTCCCCAGTGCTGGAATTAAAGATGGTGGATCACCACGCTTGGAGTTACTTTTGACATGTACCTGTCACTTAAAGTATGACAGAGCTCAGTGCCTGCTGAGGTAACTGCAGATACTATCACTAGACACATTTTGTTTAGTGACTAAACAAACAGGACTAAGCACAACATTTCCACTTTGTTGTTGTTTTTTGTTTTTCAAGACAGGGTCTCCCAGTAGCTTTGGAGCCAGTCCTGGAACTTGCTGCTCTGTATACCATGCTGGCCTCAGAGATCTGCCTGCCTGCTTCCGCTTCCTGAGTACTGGGATTAAAGGCGTGTGCCACCACCACCAAGCGAGCAGAGTATTTTAAATCCATGTTCTTCCAATATCAATTATAATTTAAAGTAAAAGTTTAGTAGCTAAAAAGAATTTTAGGCCAATGACACTCCCAATGTAAGGTTGTAAGTTGAGAAGCCCTGTAAAATGGGTAAATTTGGCAAGGACTTTCAGAATGCCACCAGAAAATCCTAGACAATAAAAATAATACAGACTATCGACTAGACTAAGACTAAAATACTGAAGTGGCAAATGCAGCCAGTGCTTGCAGTACAGTTATTAGAAAAAGTTTGTTCTCAAGGACTAAGAGAACCAATGCATGCTGTTAGGTTGCTGTGGCATCTTCCCGTGCTCATCTATAGGCGCTTGGGGACAATCTCAAAATGCTCTAAGTACTCAGACAAGTCTGAGAAATCAAAGTTAGACCTCATGCCAGGCAACGGTGAGTCCTTAAACACCAAGCAGACAGTGGATGGAAGATGTAAGGCCAACTCCCTATCACAGAGGATAAAATGAGAGTCTTTATTAAATGTAAGTGACTATCCCTAGGACCACTTGTAAGTCTTTAATAGGGTGGATTTCAAGATTCAGGAATAAACTGGGCCAATCTGCAGTAATCATGTATTTAAACCTCCCATAAAGTACACTTAAAAAGGACACAAAACACCTGCCCAAATCTCCTTTCTACACATGGATCTTCCTATTTGGTATTTGTTCTAAATAGTAAACAACTAAATCCTTTTCATTCTATCAGCTGGGAAGATGTGTCAGAAAGGCTGTCCTCACGGGGTACAGGGAAGAAGTAACATTTATAGATCACATACACCACTGGCCCTCAGATACTGGGTAAACTCAGCTCCCTACCCCTTTAACTGCAGCTCCTTTTGCTGTTTTTGCAAAACTATACTGCTTCTGTAATAAAGGATATAATTAAAATGTATACGGTGAATCTTTTAGTAGGCACACAGGTAACGTTAACTTTTGCTAGGGAATCTAGGCTGGCATTACACACCAGTGCAATACAGATTCGTAAAGTAAAAAAGATATGCTGGCCATAATTATGTTTAATTAGGTTTATCTAGAATAGGTAGTTATAAAGTAAAAAACAAATAAACCAAAACTTTACTATTAACTCATTTGAGGATTAAAAAGTAATCTTCCTTTCAATCTGTAGTAATGTGCTACAGATGGCACAGAGAGGGTTGGGCTAACCAACAATGCAGACCTGAATAGAAATCACAGAAGAGGCCTGATTTTGAGTCTGAAGGAGAGGCAGAAAAAAATACAAAACCAGCATGGGTAGGAGAGAGTGTAATAGAGGGGAGGGGGTTGGGAGCTTTCACAACAGCTCAGTACTCCCGTGAGGCAGACGACCTCTGATGCAAAGGAAGGAGACCCTACCCATAGACAAGGCTTATGAAGCTGCTTGGGTCAGCCAAGGCAATGTAGGGGCCTTGAATGCCATAATAAAGAATCTGGTCTTTGCCTATTTAATGGAGGAAACCAAAGAGGGATCATGAGCAGAGGATGATCCCGTTGGTTTTGAAAACTTTCTGGTAAGTGGTATACAAAAAGCAAAGAGGGCCAGACTATTAGGTTCTTACCCCCCAAGAAGGACAAAAGACAGGAACTAGGGTAGGAGACAGACTGATGGCAGTTAGTGGGCAGGACTGAGTTCTGGAATTAAGAAACACAGATCTCTGCATGAATAAAGGTGTCAATGCAAGATGAAGAATGCAGAAAACAATTTTAGGAGATCAATAAGAAATGTCCTATTTTAACAGACTACCTTGCTGGATGTGTAGGCAGCAAGTCATGTATACACATAGGCATTGTCTGGAGGCTGCTCATTCGTTTTTTGGCCGCCCAGACCCTAATAGGTAGATTAGTATGAGCTTACTCATACTAATACATAGGGCTCAGCAGGCAGAGCAGAGTCACAGCATTAATATTGGCCAATATTAAACAAAAAGCTCAGACCTGGGGAGCTAACACATCACACTCACAAATTCTTAGTAAACAAAGCTTGGGAGCAGGTTGGAAATAAAACATTGAAATGCCTGCCTCAGACTGTGGAGGCATAAGGATGCTGGGCTCCAGACTAGCCAGGGTTCTATGGCAATGTGGGGTAAAGTGGTGTTGGTGGGACAACAAACACAATTACACCTAAGTCTGTTTAACTTAAAACACACCAGCAAACTAACCAATTTCCTAATGATCCCCAAAATGGCTGTTTCACGATTAAATTACAGAGACAGCACACCATGGTGACTAAGGGACAGGTGTTAGGAGGTTGTCCTCAACACCTGATGTGAAAAGGATACATAGAAACACACACACACAAGGGCTTTCAGCGGAGTCCCACAGAGGGCATGAAACATAAATGGATCTTTAAAGAACAGACGGACCTCCCATGTGCAGAGGTGAGGACCAGAAGCACCAAGTGTACATGGCCTAGAATCTGTCCCTCAATCTCTACTTGGCTAACCTGGCCTTCTATTCCATTGCAGCCACTGCTTCACCTCTAGCAGGTAATGGAAGCTTCGTCACTAACAACTATCACTCAATCCAAATCCCAACCACCCTGCCCAGGATCCTCTCTTGAGACTTCCTCAATTATCTCCTTCCTATTAGTCCTTGATTCCCTCCCATCATAGATTCCTAGAAAATTCCCAACACTGGTATTTTTTAAAAATTTGTGACACTGGAGACTGATCACAGGACTTCACACAGCTATGCCTTCACCCCCAATACTAATTTAAATTTGGGCCTAAGCATGGAAGTCAAATCTTTCCCACCCCAAGCCCAAGCAAACTGACTCAAGAAATTAAACTCTTAAATACAGAACACATTTTTTCTCTCATCAGCAACTCTCCATTTTCCCAGTCAATTCACAGTCCCATATCTAGGGCATCTATTTCATAGGTTAATGCTTCTCCTTAGTCTACCAGGTATAGCTGGTTTGCTTTGTGGTTAACTTTTCCACATTCTAAATGTGCTCATATAAAAACCTCAAGCCAATGGCCTTTGTGCTTTCAGAATACTTTCATTATCCTTAGAAGAAAGCCTGCTCTATGAATCATCTCCCCCTCCCCCAGTCCACCCAGCTATTTTTTTATTCTGTGAATTTGTCTACTAACCAGCATTTTCAAAAGAAAAAGAAAAAAAAAAGAAAGAAATCATACAATGTCATACAATACGTAGTCCTTTGTGAGTGGCTCCTTCCACTTGGCATTTTTCCAAGGCTCATCCAAGTTCTGTAGCACGAACAAGTACTTAATACCAAATATTCTTCCATTGTATGAACATACCATTTTGTTTTATTGTACCTTTTTTTCTTGTTGCAAAACCACCTTCTGTTACTTTCCCACCTGACCCTGAAACCTCCAAAGCCTACTTGCCCCGTGTCAGTTTTAT